TTAAGGTAATCACACAATTTGCAAGAAAATAAAAAATGATTGTCATGATGCCAAAATATTGTGAAATAGCCAACTCAATGATAGTATCAAGCATCATATGAAATCGTTGCACCTGGTATCGAACACAATTTCATTTTTTAAAAATATATTTTCATGCCAGGAACATAATGTTTTAGGGTCATATGTTGTCATTTTGAAGGATGGAGGAATTTTATATCAGTATTAACGATGGTTTGGACTGAACCATAGTGAAAAGCGGTCTTTTCAAATACTACATCATGAACTGAAGCAAGTGAGCAATTAACTTCGTTTGTATATGCCCGGTAGACCAATGGGGTCTATGCACGACTGATCCGGCTAGCTGCACTTTGATGGTTGAAAAAAACCCACAGTTTTTCCTTCATGTTTTGCCAACACCAAGTGACACATAATATCATGGAACAGGTCATTGAAATGACGTCTGCTATTTACTAGCCCTTAAAGGTGGAGCATATCATTTGCAGCTATCCAAAAAAATAACTGACAAAATTATTGTTGCAAAGCATACGACACTAAACTCCCTGTGGAATTATTCCGTCTGGCATGCTGTCATTTTAAAGAAAACAATAAAAGAAGGTAATTTCCAACGATGTGTTTAAAGACACATATTTGGAAAATTCTGTTAGTACTTCGTTTCAATCTGGCGAAGCCGTGCATGGGTGCGCGTGCAAGGGTTGACACGACGCACATGTGCGCGCGGTTGCTATAATCCATCGGTTCAGTGCGTGACATCGTGTAGCTGCAATAGGCTGAATGAGAACGTGTCCCCGACAATGATTTCGGGCGCAATTCAAAACATGCCTCGGCAACTTTTGAATGGAAATCGAGATCCTAGAATGTTGTTTTGTCAGAATATAGAGCATTCACTGAGCTAAAAGTTCATCAGGTTAGTTGTTAAGCACCCTTCTTTAGATTCTGAGCACTTTTGTTGCTTCAAATAAAATAAAAATGCACAAATGACAAATGATATACTCTACCTTTAAATCAGTGCTCATTTACTTCAAAAGGCAGAAGTTGCTTAGAGTAGTGGTGCACCTGTAGAAATATTCTGCCAAAGATTTCACTTCTTTTTTTTTTTTTTTGCTGACCATAAAGCAGCATCATGATCATTTTCTTTGATTGGGACGCAATAAAAGAAATAGTAGATGCCCTTAAACAGTTAACTGAAAGTTGCACAACAAAAAATGTCTTATAAATTAAGATGCACTCACACATTGAACATTTGGGTTCAGTTGTCACCTCATTTCACAGTGGTTAAGTGTTGGATGACAACACCTGAGAGAGCAGACAACACATGAATCAGTTCCGAAATTCAATACCGCTCCATCGTCACTGAGGATGCTTAACGCAAGATCTTTGGTCTTTGACACAAAACGTGTTTTGATCCCGCAATCACCCTGCCTCCCTCAATCCATATATCTGTTTTGGTAAATGTCATTTGCTGGACTGCATTGTGCACTACTATGTGGAAAAGCCTTAGTTTTTGGTCTGATAATTTTTTTCTCCCTTTTTTTTTCTTCTTGCTCTTTACCAAATCCCATTTGCTGGACTGCATTGTGCACTACTATGTGGAAAAGCCTTAGTTTTTGTTCTGATTATTTTTATTTTTCTCTTCTTTTTTTCTTGCTCTATACCAAACCCATTTGCTGGACTGCATTGTGCACTTCTATGGAAAAGCCTTAGTTTTTGTTCCCATTATTTTTTCTTTCTTCTTTTTCTTCTTGCTCTATACCAAATCCCATTTGCTGGACTGCATTGTGGTTCTTTTGTGGGTACAAGGGTTATTTGCGTGTGTGTCCAAGAGTGGTCGTGTGAAGCAAACGGCCCGTACTCAACAAATAAAAAATTGTTGGAAGTCATTTTTAATGACAATTGTGACAGGAAAGTGTCGCCCTTTGAACCCTAAATTTAAAAAAAATGACCTACAAGTGTGATGTACTTAGAAATTGGGAAAAAGCTGAAAACCTCAACGTTCTGTTCATGAATAGGCAAAGCTCTTGTTTTTCCTCCTTTTTGTTTTGTTCTGTTTTGTTTTGGTTTTCACAGTTTAAGTGCCATCCCAATCAGATAGGTTTACTAGAGTCGGCCAAACAATTCCCTTGAGACTGTTAAGCACAGTTCTGCATAACTTAACCCAGTTGCCCCGCGCGACTTTTTGATTTACACTAGAAATATCAAGTCAACAGCAGGCTGAATTAAAACAACAGGTCTGGTCATTTTGTCTAAGATGTCTTAAAATATGCCGACGCAGGGATGGGATTTGTCTAGTGGATATGGAAAGTGGAAACTAAGATGTCAGCCAGTGTATTAACCGACATCTTTGTGAATCCATGAACGACAATTAAATTACCATTAACCCGTAGAACTCCATGGTCCAGTGGTTACGGTGTTTGACTCATGTACGAAGGTGCGTGGGCTCGAACCCTGCCAGGAACATGATGTTTTTTTACCCTTGGGTAAGACACTTAACTACAATTGCCTCTCTCCACCCAGGGGTATAAATGGGTACCTGTCAGGGTTGAGGACAGATTGAGCGCTGATATCGGCTGCCGTGTGGTCCCATGCATGGCCTGATGAACGGGGTAATAATTGTAAAGCGCTTTGAGCTTGTTGATATGATGGAAAGCACTATATAAGCACAATTATTAGTATTATTATTATTATCATTAACCCAATAACAACTTTACTACAATGTGTTACACTGTGTTTATTCAGTGATGAATCCATCAAACAAACCATGGAGTGCACCGATGTTTCAGGGTGCTACAGGGATTTATAGGCAGGGCAGTGCGGGGCGTTACAGTGACTATGGGTTAATGGAATCTCAACAGTGAGTTCCATTTTTGTGTCGCCTTAACGAAGTTTTGGGAGACAGTTACCAGTCCTAAATTCTGTCTGACTCCGTAATTACCACAGCAACTTGTGGGGTACGACAAACGGACATTTAGGGAACAGTGCTACCCCACTACTCACCCTTAGAAAAGCGGTACCCCAGAAGTGAAATTCTAAAGAAAAGGAATAAAAGGACAACAATGCAAGTACCCCAGAACTCCCATCTGCTGCAATATCCGTAGCCCCCCTTAGCCACATTGCCCTGTACATGTATGTATGTTAAAGGGGTTCCGCTCATAAGTCCTACGCTGCATAGGTCTGACGCCTCATAAGTCCGACAAAATTGCATCCCCTAACCAAATAAAGGCCAAAGGCCGACGCCTCATACATGTAGGTCCGACGCCTCATAGCTCCGACGCCTGGTAAGTCCGACAAATTAAACGCCTCTTTTTTCCAACGTCGGACTTACAGTGTATGAGGCATCGGACTTATGAGGCGTCGGACCTATGAGGCGTCGGACCTATGAGGCGGAATAAATAAATGTTGTGCCTCATAAGTCCGACGCCTCATAAGTCCGAAATGTCGGACTTATGAGGTGTCAGACCTATGAGGCATCGGACTTATGACACGGTCCCTGTTAAAGTTTAGATTAGGTTTTTGAAGAGAAAAAAAATGTATAACTTCTACATGTTTTCATGGATTTGGATGAAACTTGGATGCAGTGACCCTTGGATGGGAAGACACAATCCTTCATCAGATTACTGAGGTCAAAGGTCATGTATGGGGTCATTAGAGGTCATTGTTCAAATATGCTTCAAATGTTTCTTTGTCTACAGAATTTGTTGGATTTTAATGTAACTTGGATGGAGTGATCCTTGGGTGGGGGTTCATCACAATGCTTCCGAAATTGGAGGTCAAAGGTCATGTAGGGGTCATTTGAGGTCGTTTGAAAAAGCACAAAATTTGACTATTTTGAGAACACAAAACATAAAGGGATCGAATGCGGTAAACAACATTGGTAAAGAACAGAGTTATTTAGAATCAAAAGTGGACTTTTTTTTACAAGTAGCTAGGACATGTACCTTTAATAAAATAAAACGCCAGAATTGTTTTTTTCTCTTCGTTAAAAGAATAATAAGAGAACATAATCATCACTTTGAATCATTTATGGTTCGGTTGGAGAGATTTGAAGTATTATATTACTCGTCCTCCCCTAGCTACGCTCAATTGCATTTTGCTCGTATCGAATGGCTAATGGTGCTCAGGGTCAGTCTTTATTGCGGTTTTTTTTTTTTTAGAGAGAGAGAAAGAGAGAGAGAGAATGGCGTAATTTCCCCTCTCGGATTACTTTTCCTCGACAAGAAACGCTGTGATGCTTAAAAGGCTCTGCGGTTATTGCGGGAAGCCGGACCAATGTGTTAAGATTGTAAGGAACTTAATTTCTGAGGAATTTCCGTCATTTAGTTTGTCAGGGTTATTCATTATTCTTACGTCTCATGCATATTTGTGAGCCAAATGCGCTGCTTTCATTGGTCAGTGTTCCAACGCTTTGGTGCAATATACTGGGTTCCCATCCACTCTTAGTTTCTGAGGGAAAACCTTGAAAATGAGTTTACATTTTCCTCAGTTGGGGAAAAGTCTGGGAAATTTGGAGAAAAAAAACCCCCAAATCAGGGAAAATTCAGAATGTGACCGCGACCCAGAAGGGAAACGATATGCGTCTTAATTGTGCTGTGTGTCCTAGTTGTGGCCATTGACTGACTGGCTGTGGTAGCTTGTGAAGTGTTTATGCAGTGTGAATATTATCAGTTTCTTAGTTGCTTTGCTGCAACCACCTCTTGACTTTCCAGCAACCTCGTTAAAGGGAAAATACAACATTTGCAAACATCGAAAAATAACACTACCAAGTTTTTATGAAATAACTTACTAGGATGTTGGTAAATGACAGTCTAAAGCATCCTGTAAAATTATGGCACCTGTTGTGAAGTCATTTTCAAGAAAATTGTATTTTTGTATACATTTCCAACGGTGGTCGGCCGACCACCATAGGAAAAACCCAACTATTTTTCAACTACTGCTCCAAATTTACCATTCGTTTTAGTCCAAATTGTGTTTGCTATCTATACTACAATCACGAAAATGATTCGGGGGCGCTGCCATTTTCCCGACCGGTCTCCGACCGGTCTCCCGTCCCCATCGCGCCTGTTGGCTGCGGGGGATGCGGAACGGGGCCCGGCTATTTTCGCCCCATATTTCCCAGAATTCCTTTCCCCATTGAGCCGGCCGCCATCTTGCGTACGGGCCGGTGTCACGTGAAAATTCGACTCCTATGAAAATCGGACCCCTATTTCCCTATTATTGGTTGATCCCTCGCACGTACGTGACAGGTCACTCTCCCAAAATGATCCTAAAAATAGCACAGTATCGTACTCACGCGTGCGCAGGACTACCAATGAGTCCACATTTCATGGAGTCGGATATTCACGCTACACCTGTCGTGCCACGTATACGTATACGTTCGTATAGAGGTGCCACGTATACGTATACGTTCGTATAGAGGAGCATGCGCTGCAGCGCATGCAACGGTATTCCATGCAACATGCAAAGCTGAAGGCATGCTTGCCCCACATTTTCTCAGCACTACTAGCTTCGTTTGATGGTCGTTTGATGCATTGATTATGCTACAATTTTCTCTTTCAATGGTAAGTCCGGTTTGTGCTATGACACATTATAGATTATAGTTAGTAGTAATTCTTTCGAACACCTCTGGCAAAGGATTATAAGTATTCTTTCGAACACCACTGCTGGCAATGACAATTGTTGTTTGTGAAAAGTGTGACCCAATCGCGTGGGCCTCGGACATGGCGATCGTGTAGTACTTAGTAGAAGGGCCCGGTTCCTATAGGGAACAAAATCCACTTTAAAAAAGCCCGACCAAAATAGTTGGAGACATTCTCAATAAACAGGTATGTCATAGATAGAGGGCCGGGTTTTGATTTTTTTTTTAGAGAAATTTGGGGGGGGGGGGGGAAATTACGATGACAGCACAGCGAAAACACGCAACCCGAAAATAAAGATGGCGATTTCTGCGCGATGTGCTGTGAGCACGCACGGCGCGCAGAATCGTAAGGCACAAACCGCGCAGGAACAATTTATTTGTAGCTATTGTTAGCCGATGTATTTTTTTACAAGTTTTCTTTGTTACTCCTTTACACAGGACTCCCGATGACACCCACATCACATGACCAGCTCCAACCATGCTCCAAGCATGCTCCAGTGCATGCTTCAACCAGTTCCCAAAGCAAGAATCTCGACTCAAGACGAAGACGTGACGTGCTTTTTCTCTTTACCCATTCAAAACACATTTTTCTTCTAGCCATAATTTTATTATTTAGAAGTCATGAAAATGAAATAGTGCAAAAATAATCACTCTTTTCTGCTGTTTTATGTCCATCCTTTTTTAAAGTTATATCCTTGGCTTAGTTGTATCCAAGAATAATTATGGAATGATTACCCGTCTCGCTTGAAAGTCTTTCATGGAATGTTTTTGCCTATGCTAAACAAGCCTGGACCGACGTCCCTTACGAAAATCGCTCCGAAAATTTGCTACAATTATATCCCCTGAGTTTTGTCAAAGTACTACCCTGTATTGAATGCAAATACATTATTACAAAAAAATTTGTGTGTGCATTGTACCTGATTTCATTTTTACAGTTTTGTAATAAATACATTTAACATGTGGTGCTTGACATAATTATGAAGTGCTCTAATATGTCCTTTCTTATAGTTTTACTCTCTTCTGCAAATAAACGTGTTACAATACTTTGCTCTACAACCCCATCACCATAATAAAAACACGAACTGTTATAATGACATTAACTACTACTTAATACATAAAAAACACCCCCTTCACCATAACGAATATAAATTGTTGCCCACTTCCCCGGAAATATAAGTGACCATTCACAGGTGTAACATAAGTAAGCATGGGCGTCGCAAGGGGGGGGGGGGGGCAAGGGGGGCACTTGCCTTGCCCCCCCCCCCCCCCCCCCCCCCCCGAAAGCAAAAAAAAAAGAAAAAAGAAGGGGAAAAAATGAGTTCAATTTTAAATTTAATGAGTTGGGGGGCTAAATGTCCCTGCCCTTCTCTAAAACTGATAAATAAAGAATGTGTTGAGAAAAACAGGCATTTTTTTGGCAAAAATATGTTTTGCCCCCTCTAGAAAACAAATCCTGGCGACGCCCATGTAAATAGACCACACAATATCCAACCCCCATCCCCACTGGCTTCCTCCTCCTCTCCTCTGTAGTGAGAACTATGAATACGACGTTGTAAAGGTCAAGATCAAACCGCGTTTCATCTAAACTACCTAATTGTACAGTTGGTGTATACGTCCTTTATGGTTTGGCACCTTGAAAAATCAATGTTCAATTTGACTGGACAATATTCCAGCACAACATTAGTTATGAGCTTTATATACATGTAATGAGACATTGCATGAGACAATCGGTCGGCAATAAATACTTAATTTCATTCAACTGTTGACAGCAAGACCTTCCTAATCGGTGCGCAATTTAAAACAACATTTAAACGGTATGAATCCCAGCACAAACATAAACCTCCACAATATCAGCGATTTCAATATCACCATCTCCCCTCTATAACAAAAACCATTTCTCCCCGTCCCTGGAAATATTTCTCCCCATCCCCGGAAATATTTGTGACATGGTTGACGGGTTGTACGGAAATTGGGCGTTCCGACTAGCACCTTTCACCCTAACTAGCCCCTCCCCTATATTGACAATATGTCCTGGACCCTCGCACAATTTCCACAGGAAATGTTATGTGCGCGCACGTTGCTAAACGCAAATACAACTTAGGTGAGACTGATGGCGAGCCCAAATAGGCTCGCGTGCAGCAGAGCGTCTGATTCTTTATTTGACTTAACAGTTGTTTGGAGTTATTGGGGTTATTATCGAGATTTCACTGTATACAGTAATTATTACGAAACAGTCAACTCCACCCATCTAGCGGGTGCCGCGCAAAGCGCGGCATCCCGCTAGTTGGTTACATGTTCATGAACGGGTGCAGGCCAGCTAGACTGGTTCCCTTACCTTACAATCTTCCGGCATCTTTAAATTGATCCATTTCATCTTTAGTGGAGTCAAGGAACCAGACTACGTAAACTTTTTTGTTTTTCTTGTTTTTTTCCAGCATTTTCGAACACAAAACTTCAAAACATGTCAGTGAAACAATATTTGATCTATTATACTAACCCCTCAAATTGTTCATTTCTGAAAATTACAGCGAAAGCCAATGATGTACATTCCCTTTAAAGTGAACAAAAATATTTCCCATGGAATTTTGGAAATTTCTCAGGGAAAGATATGGTAGACTTCGTGGAATTTTGTTTTCATAAACACCGAAATACTGCCACTGTGGTGAACTGCAATGTTTGCAAAATTCGAAGGCATCCAATCTTGCTTGATTGATGGATATTTTATTGCTTCATCAATACAGTGCGTAAAATTTGATTGCTCGCAAAAATCTTTTGGGAGCAATCAAATTCTTATAACATGATTATAAGAAATTTTGAGAATTAAAAAAGAACATCTCAGTGAAGAGGTTTTCAATTCATTGAAATGTGAAAATGAATCAAACTGCTTCAAACTGCTTATACTGACTGGATTGACCTGAAATCTATATGCAAACGTGGATTAACGATTGTTCTGGTACTAAATTTAAACACTTTGTGAAATTATCCTGTCTGGCTTCCCGTCATTGACAAGTTATTAAGAAATTTATGTAAGTGATTTCCAACGATCAGTCCATTGACTGATTTTTGGAAATGTAGAGTGCTATAGTTTCGTGATCAAAAGGTTGTGCATAGTTTTTCACTGTTTTCTCGAAAAGTGTAATATCCACTGAGCTGAGACTTTAACAGGTTAGGTTTTGAACATTCTTCTTTGGATTTTGAGTGGTGTTATTACCGGAAACGAACAAAATGCAGGAAAAGCAGACAATCCTACATGTATGTATGCCTTTAAATACAATGTAGGGTATTGTGGGCTAGAGTTAGGCTTTTAAGACGTTTCATGAGATCAAGAAGCCACAGAAATGTTATTTTGCTTTCTTCTTATTTTGTTGGGCACCAATTTCGTCTTCTTTTGAACAAAACAATATTTTGACCATGCAAGAAAAACATATTTCATAACTCTTACAAGGGGCATAAAAAAAGGTTTGCGTCATGTGAAATAACGAAAGCTCGCAGTGTCTCCTTACAATTGAATCTGTTTGGCACGCATACAACGTGTCCTTGCATTTTTTTTTTTTTTTTTTTTTTTTTTTTGTATTTTAAATGTCAAAGAGATACGAACTCGCTCGCCTCTGCCGAAGAAGTTTAAGATTTCCCGTTTCAAGAGTCTCTTGCATTTGAAATGCCAAGGCAGACAATTCCATTGGATTCTCCAGCTCGGAGCGATCTTCCCTGCCAGGCAAAGATTTTTGTCTGACCATATAACTTCCATGGTCTAGCAAGCCCTTGAGGGAAAACCACGACTAAAGCTAAGCATTCAACTTATAAAGCTTTTTTTTCTCTCTTTTATTGTCTTGTTTTTGCTCTAATATCCTTCCGCACTTCTACACATTCTTGGCGCGGACTCGGAATTTCCTCCGGTAAAATAAGAACATAATTGAAGTGGTTATTGCTGTTAACATGACATGATTGGATTATTTTGATGTACCGGCATGCTTCTGAAGGAGTCGGGAAACCGTTTGTGTGAAGAAAACAAAAATGTTGTATTTTGATAGCGAGAAACATGAAATATTTTATGGATTGCGCATCGACTCTTCAAAATCTAGTCTGCTGATCTCCTCCTCAGGGGACCGCGATTCACTCTGTCATGAAACTCATTTTCATTTTGGAGAAAGAAAAAAAAAATTGAGGAGGAAGGGGAAATACGTATCGTATCAACTTTCCAAATGATGGTCCTCTCACGAGGTGCAATATAAAGATGGTCAGTGGCCGGGACATCTACGGAAGAGGGTTTTCGGTCGAGCTATTGGGAGGCTCTGGGGATATTTCTTTCTGATCGGGGGGGCCTCAACGAAGGTGACGGTCCATCACGGGATTGTTATGACGAGCTGGACGGGAGTCCATTGAAAGAAGAACAGTCGTGAGAGATGTGCTCGTCGGGTGAAACGCAGGCAGAATAAATAAAAAACAGTCATCATGGTTTGCGGTGGGTCTTGGGAAGAATTGGAGTCGGTTATAGAGGAGGCTTGCGGTGGTCTGCATAGCGATGCTGTTTAAGATGAGTGTACCGACGCACCAGGATTATCTATGCATGATGTGCTGTATCAGCGTAATGGGAAACCGGACCACCAAGCAAGTAAAAAAAAAAAATCCTGGTTATTTTTGTGTACCGGTAATGTTTAATACTTGTGAATGCATAGTCAAATGGACTTTTGTGAATGTCAATTCTGCTTAGTACCGGTACTAGCAGATTGCTGACTTGTGTAAGCAGTTAAACGTGTCTGTGTGCAGAAACCTGTATGTTGTGTGGACTTGAGTAGTGGTTGTCAAGTCTGCTTAGTAAGCAAATTGCTGCATCTGTGTAAGCACTTAAAACTGTCAGTGTGCAGAAACCTTCTGTATAGCATTCAGTAGTCTTAATTAGTGTGTCAAATCTACTTAGTAAGTGAATTGCTGCATCCCTGTAAGCAGTTAAAACATGTCAGTGTGCAGAAACCTTCTGTATAGCGTTCTGTGTGATCTTAAGTTGTGTGTCAATTCTGCTTAGTAAGCAAATTGCTGCATGTGTGTAAGCAGTTAAAACTGTCAGTGTGCAGAAACCTTCTGTATACCGTTCTGTAGGCTTGAGAAGCATGGTTGTCAATTCTGCTTTGTAAGCAAATTGCTTACCTGATCTTTAGAAACCTGTGCACTGTGATTATCGGAATGGGATATGTGCCTATTTAAATTTCAATTTGAAGTGCCTAAGTATCCGTAGGGTTGATTCTCCTTTGAACTGAAATTTTTAAGCACCTCTAGTGTGTGGGCAAATTAGGAGGAGTTAAATTTGTCTCCAGAAGTTGATTTTGACTAGTATACCGTACACCTACTGTTTTACATTCTGTACATATTAGTGATCATGATTGTTTGTGTTTGTTTATGGTGTAAATCAAGGACACACACGTGCAACATCATTGATGAATCGAGGACAAAAACCAAATCAGGGACTCCTCTGTTTGAAAACGCGTACAAAATCAGTGAGAGCTATTTCAAAAAAAGTTA